AAAAAAAAAAAAAAAAGAACTTGGAAAACATGAAACCACCAAATAGGCAAGAAAGGAAATTCCTCTACAACCTAGAAATGAGGCGCGTGAGGAGGGAGGGTGTAAAACATTTTCTGGGCAAAAGTTTGGCAATCAAACGGTGTAAAAAGTGAGAAAAGGAAAACATTTTTCTTTTCCTTGGGAAAATGAGGCATATCAAACACTGCCTAAGTTTTGGTTTACCTAGAATTTTTTGGGATAAAACTGTTAAAACTGCTAGTTATCTTATAAACAGATTGCCTTCTAGTTCTATAGACTTTAAGACCCCTGAAGAAAAATGGAAAAGGAAACATGTAGGCTTCAGTAACTTGAGGGTTTTTTGGATGTGCTGCATTTGCACATCAAATTGAAGGTAAATTAGAATCTAGAGCCCTTAAGTGTGTGTTTTTTTCTTTTTTGGGCTATAGGGAAGGGGTTAAAGGCTATAGACTGTGAGTTAGAGAAATTAAAGGCAATAAGGTCATTATTAGTAGAAATGTAGTGTTTAATGAAGATGATCTGCCCTGCCTTTAGTCTGAAAAACAATTTGAGACTTATGATCAGACGAAAATGTGAGAAAGAGGGTTGAAACTCAGGTGGAGCAATCTGATGATGATACTCATCGGATTGCTACACAAAATATTGAGGGAAATGTGGAAACTATAGCTGAAAATGTTCCTGTTGAGGCCCCTGAAGCTGATTTAGAATTAGTTCAGCCTCTTATTGATTGCCTACTTGCTGGGGACAGGGAAAGAAGAAATATTAGACCTCCAACTAGGTTTGAAGATGATGTTTCTTTGTTGCCCTATCATAGTATGATTGAAGAGGAACCTGAATCCTATGAGGATGCTTTGAGTCGCAGAGACTCCAAACATTGGCTTGCAGCCATGCAAGATGAAATTGAGTCACTTAACAAAAATAAAACTTGGATTTTGGTAAAAAGACCTAAGGGTAAGAGGGTTGTGGATTGTAAATGAATTTTCAAAATTAAAATAAGTGAACAAAGTGAGAATGACATAAGATACAAAACTAGATTAGTAGTAAAGACTTTTACTAAAAAAGAAGGAGTTGATTTCAATGAAATTCTTTCACCTATAGTAAAATTTACTACAGTTAGAGTCATTCTTGCTTTGGCCACCCAATTTAATTGGGAATTAGACCAATTAGATATAAAAGCAACTTTTCTAAATTAGAATGACATTAGATATAAAGCCCGTTTGGTAGCAAAAGGTTTTACTCAAAAAGAAGGAGTTGATTTCAATGAAATTTTTTCACCTGTAGAAAAATTTACTACAGTTAGAGTCATTCTTACTTTAGCCACCCAATTTAATTGAGAACTAGACCAATTAGATATAAAAACAGCTTTTCTAAATGAGAATTTGGATAAAACCATTTACACGAAACAATCTAAAAGGTTTTGAATTGAATAAGAGATTTGACTTAGTTTGCCTTCTTAAAAAGTCCCTATATGGCTTAAAACAAGTCCCAAGATAATGGTATAAAAATTTTGACAATTTTGTACTTGGACTTGGGTTTGAGAGAAGTAACTTCGATACTTGTCTTTATTGCAAGGGAAATGGAGGAGCTAATTCACTTTACCTCNTATTGCAAAGGAAATGGTGGAGCTAATTCACTTTATCTACTCCTCTATGTGGATGACATGCGATTAGCAAGTCATGACATAAAAGAGATAGAGGAAATCAAAGACAAACTAAAATCAGAATTTGAAATGAAGGACTTAAGTCCAATTAGAAAGATTTTAGATATTGAAGTTAAAAGAAATATGAGAGAAGACACACTAAGTCTTAGCTAAAAATCTTTTATTCTGAAATTGTTTAGTAAGTTTTCTATGGCTGAATCCAGAAGTGCTAGTGTTCCCTTGACTAATCATTTTAAACTTTCAAATGATCAATGTCCTAAAACAAAAGAAGAATTTGAAAGAATGGCAAAAGTACCTTATTCTACTGCAACTGGGTCTGTAATGTACCTTATGGTGTGTTCAAGACCAGATTTAGCATATTCTATAAGTGTTTTGAGTAAATATATGTCAAATTTAGGTGAAACACATTGGCAAATCATGAAATGGATTCTCATGTACATTAAGGGAATTTCAGACTTGGGGATTCAATTTAGAAAATAAGCTGAATGTGTTATTTTAAAGGGATTTACTGATTCTGATTATGCAGGTGATAGGGATAATAAAAAATCCACCTCAACCTACATGTATACCTTGTGTAATTCCTGTATAAGTTGGAAATCTCAGCTTCAAAAGATTGTGGTGCTGTTCTCTACTGAGGCAGAATACACTGCGGCCACTGATGCAATTAAAGAGAGAATTTGGTTTCATGCATAAGCTGTAAATCCCAGCTTCAAAAGATTGGGGCCTTGTCTTCAACTGAGGCTGAATACATTGCAGCCACCGATGCTATAAAAGATGGAATTTGGTTAAAAGGGTTACTTAATGAATTTGATTTTGATAAAGAAGTTGTTCTTTATTCTGATAGCAATTCATTTAAGTAGAAATCATGTATTGCATAATAGATCTAAGCATGCTGATGTTATATTTCATTTTATAAGAAATATTATTTCACAAGGTGTTATGAAACTTGAAAAGATATCAACTAACTGCAATCATGCTAATGTAGGTACTAAGGTTCTACCTTTAAACAAATTCCTGGATTGCTTGACCTTACTGAATGTTACTGCATGCTGATCTGTAGATGTGGTAAAGTGTGCTAATGATGTCGTAAATGTGAGAATGACCACTGATGAATGTGAATCATTGTACCAAGGTGGAATATGAAGGGAATTGGCACAATGATGCTAACACCCATGGTTAAAATGAATTGAGTTGCCCAGCTGACTGTTTTTGTGGTTTATTAACTTGGTGCAAAAACGTGTTTTGAAGAAATGCCTTAAGTCGTGTTTTAACTTACCTGATTAATGAACGTCCAGGATGTCACCATGTGTCAGCTCCTACATCGTTGGATTGGAGACCATTGGGTGACCTTTATAAGGGGCTTCCAAGGTTAGCACATTGGATATTGCTTCAGTTCCTCTCATTATTTCTGTGTCGTTCCAGAGTCTTCTTCTCCTTCTCCTTCTCTCTGTTGAAATCAAAATACTCTTTTGATTTCGTTTTCTCTCTTAAATGTTGTAATCTTGTAGGATTTCCTTTGAGTTGAGTTCTTGTTATTGTGTGAACTGTTGTTGAGTGAAGGCTGAGATCTTTGGAAAATACGGGTTTAGACTGAGTGCTCAAACCTCTTGTAATCCTTATCTTGGTTGTGATTTGTATTCGCATGGTGGTTGTTCTTCAGTGACTGAGGCACTGATTGACTAGGGTTTGGCCTGAGGACTTTGATGAATAAGATTTCATACTTTTACAATTTACTTTAGTTTTCTTTTGTGTATATTTTTGTTGATTTGTGAACTAACTTCTGTGAATCTCCTCCCAACATTCCACATATGTAATATAGACCAACTTACTATAATTTTTATGATGTAATTCTATAATAAAATAAGAAAGTTTGTGAGTTGATGGATAAGACGTATATTTGGGAGAGTTGTGTTAAAATCAGAAGCTGAAAGTGTCCCCTTTTTTAATTGACCGAGTGAGGAAATAGGGTTTGAAATACTACCTCAATCTTTCAAATAATCTTTTACTGAGTCTCAGATTAAGGTATAGCCATTCTTTTTATGCAGGTTGACATTGACTTCAACAAAAAGCCAATTGTTGTAGGCAAAGATGGTAAAGATGTCTATTTCAAGGATATATGGCCATCAACTGAAGAAATTGCAGAGGTATGTGTACATTGCACTGAATGCCCATTAGCAGAAAGGTAATATTAAATGGTCAAGTAATATGAAACTCATGCGTTGTAGGTCGTTCAATCCAGTTTATTGCCTGATATGTTCAAAACTACATATGAAGCTATCACAAAGGGTAATGCCATGTAGAATCAGTTATCAGTACCAACTGCCAAGCTATATTCATGGGACTCGAATTCTACTTACATTCACGAGCCACCATATTTTAAAAATATGACTATGGATCCCCTTGGGCCACATGGAGTGGAGGATGCCAACTGCTTGATGAACTTTGGTGATAGTATCACTACAGATCACATCTCGCCAGCCGGAAGCATTCACAAGGATAGTCCAGCTGCCAAATATCTTGTCGAGCATGGGGTTGATCGCAAGGACTTCAACTCTTATGGGAGTTGTTCGCTTGAAAATGTACCGCAAGTACACGGTTCGCATACAAGTAATAAAGTGGACTTTTAGAGTCCGAGATATCAATCCCTCGAGGAATGACTATTTAATTGTACAAGAGTTGAACTAGTTCTAGCAATAGAAACACACACCATTCATTTTGAGTTTTCAAAATAAGAGTAAACGATCTATATATTAAAGTAGCTAAAGGTAACAAAGTTAACTTAAAATTAACAAGGTTCGAATTTGAGAAGAGTTGGGAGGTTGAAATGGTTGGGATTCATGATTTCACTTAACCATTATTTAATCAATTTCCAATAAGCAAATTAACAAACCACTTATTTTCTATGTTAGACCCGATTCTCCTACTTTAGCTAATTACCTCTCTCGAGCGTCAAGTAGCCATAAATAATTGAGTCAATCTACTCTATCTCTATATCCATTAAAACCTAAAGAATTGCATTAATTCGTTGTGAAAATATCTCAAAGGGTCACCTAGGGTTAGGAGTTTATCTCTATCTCCTACAAGAACCTAGGGCATTTGCTATTTGGTCTAAAATGCATAATATCTCTTAATTATTATACACTTCACTCAACACGATCATTTAATGGCCAAATAAATGAAAGGAAATCAATACAATAACAAACACACATGAAAATAAGCAACTTTTACTCAAAAGGCAAACATTGAAATTAATCAAATTAGGTTAAGCTACATCAATCATCCCAACCTCAATAAGTTTAGCTCATTGTATAAAAAGAGTGAAAATTGTGAAATTTAGAGTTGTACATTACAAAGTGAGCAAATCAAATGTTACAATTCAAGATAAAGAAATGAACTCGTCCCTTGAATGAAATTCTTGAAATGTTGCTCTTGATTTTCACCCCAAAATTCCAGTTTTTGTTTTCTCATCTTCTCCTTTTTCTTCTCTTTGTTGAACCAAAGCTTTTGGAAAATGAGAACTCTCAAAAACTCCGGTTTGAGTTATGAGATTTGATCCTTAAATACACTCAAAATTCAGCACAAACAAAAGCCCAAAATACCCTCAAATTTTATAATTTTCGACAATTTTCAACATACATGTGCGCACCATTCTAGAAGCAAAGTGCGCGGGTTCACACTTTTGGTGAAATCACAAATTGCACAGGAGGTCCACAGGATAATTTGCATAGTTAGTCCCTCAACTTTGATAAGTGACATTTTGGTCCTCAACTTTTTGATTCCTTCATTTTGATGATGAACTTCAAAGTTGGCTTTTCAATTGAGCTCCAATCTCTTTCATTTTTCTCATTTTCCTTTCAATGCGGAGTTCACATATATAAAACAAAATAATCACAATTATAAGTAGAAATTCGCTCAATTTATCAATGCTTCTTCCATTTAACGGCTCTAATAAGTGTGTAAAATCACACTTATCAGGAGTCGCTGTGGTAACGATGAAATAATGGCAAGGGAAACTTTTGCAAATATTTGCCTCGTGAACAAGTTATTGAATGCAGAAGTTGGCCCAAAGACGCTACATATTACCACCGGAGAAAAGCTATCTATGTTTGATGCTGCAATGGTGATTTTCGTGAACTTTTTTTTCTTTTTTGGTTTTCCATTCTACCTTTATGAGAGCACTTTTGTTTGATTTTTATATTTCTTGGTGAGTCATCTTCTTTGAAGTATTTGTTTCCATTACTATCAGTTTCTGTTAATCTCTTCATCTAATACTGCATGTTTCTTTTTAGGCCTTGTATGGGAGGGATTAAAATCAGATTAAAATTGAAAATATAGCCGTTATTGTTGACTTTTATTAGACGAGTGGGACCCAATAACGACCATATTTTTAATTTTAATTGGCTTTTAATCCCTCCCGAACGGGGCCTTAATCCTAATATTTTTCACCAATATGCAACTGTCAGAGATATAAATATGCTGGAGTGGACACTATTGCCTTGGCTGGAGCCGAGTACGGAAGCGGAAGCTCTCGAGATTGGGCTGCGAAAGGCCCAATGTTGTTGGCGAGTCTCTGTTATGACTGCTTGTGTTAGCATTTTTTCTTTCTTCTTATTCATCGTTTTCTTCATCATTTTTGTAATAGGGAGTCAAAGCAGTGATTGCTAAAAGCTTTGAAAGGATCCATCGCAGTAATCTTGTTGGAATGGGCATTGTTCCACTTTGTTTCAAGTCTGGTGAGGATGCAGACACACTAGGATTGACTGGTCATGAGCTTTATACCATTGATCTTCCCATCCGACCAGGTCAAGACGTTACTATCCAGACTGACACTAAAAAGTCTTTCACATGCACAATCCGTTTCGATACTGAGGTGAGTTGCCCTATGCTTTCCTATTTGTTTATCCCATTTTTACAAGGTTTTGGACTATGGATTTGATTCATAAGATTTACACCTAACACGATACGACATTTTTCAGGTGGAGTTGGCTTATTTCAATCACTGCGGCATACTTCCATATGTTATTCGACAATTGACTAATCAATAAGGATTCATATTTCTTAGCTGCTAGCCATTGTTGAGTTTCCTGAATTGTAATTGTGAAGAGAATAAAAGTTGCATTTCTTGTATCCTTCTAAACAATGGAGATTATTACTATTATGGCTTCCTTGAACAACGCAAGTAATGAAGACTTGCCTACGCATTGAAGAGTGTATCCTTCTTTTTGGCACTAAATTTTTTCCCTCTATGGAGGTTAATTTATTAGTTATCAGATGATCTGCGCCACCATTCCAGGTATGGAATGTTTCAAAATTAACGCAAGAAATGAAGATCCGAACCCACGAACGGCTCGATCCATTTGCGACCTACTACTATAATCCTTCAATTCAGATTGGATAAATCCATAATTTTCACGTAAAAAGTGGGGTAACAATTTTTTACTTCACAATTTATTATACTAATATTTACAATTACATTCGCCACCTTCATTTCTCAAATCAACAATGACTAGTACAGAATGCTGCTTGAATTGTACGTTTTCAGTTTTATCACTCACGAACAGTGCGCCACTCACTCACTACTCCACCACAGTCACGTGCATTCTCTCTTCCCGCCAAGACCAAAAATAAATTATTAATCTAAATTACAAATTAAAATTTCACTGGATAAATATAGATTTGGTCCCTAAAGTCACGGAGGAATTTTATATTGGTTCCTAAAATTTATTTTGTTCCGAATCAATCACTAGAGTTTCTTAATATTTCCAATCTGGTCACTCTATGACTACATCAAATCTTAATGTGTACACACTTTACATTACCATGTACTAACGAAACATTTAATTCTTTTACTATGCAAGCCTAAATCATGCAAAAATAAAAATAAAAAATGATAGACCTACGGTGCAATGAAATGTGTTTTAACTTAATATTCAAATTTAATTTTAAAATTCAATATCAACCCATTTTCAGCACGAGTAAGGCTTGTGTAGCAATAAGGTCAATGTCATTGGAAATTGGAACTGACAAGAAATTTTAGTGACTGACTTGTAACAACATATACTTTGAATACCAAATCGAAATTTCATTGGAAATATAAGGACCAATATTTAACCCTTAAATTTCACTCTCATTTCAATTTTTCTTCCTATAAATACCCGTCCTCTTATCTATCACGTACTTTTAACTCTTCTCTCAAGTTTCGACTTCTCTAATCTCATTCAAATTCTAATACTCTTTCATTTGAGCAGAAGAAGAAGCCATGAAAGGACCAAAGAACGCTGCCATTGCTTCCAAGAAGCTCGTCATCACTGAGTAAATTCGCTCGCTGTTTGGATCACACACACAATTGCATGTTTTTTTTTGGTTTTTTATTCTCTGAAACTTTCAAATAATGCGTACAGTTTTAACTGATTTGATTTTACTTCTAAATCGAGTTTTCACCAAGTTCGATAAGTAGTTTTTGTTGCTGTATCGTTTTATATCTGATTTTAATGTTTTGTTTCAAGTAATGTTTTCAATCTGTTACTCTGATTTTCATTTCTCGTTCGAAGGAGTTTCACCTCTGTGGTTAATTTCGTCGTGTTTCTCGAATCTATCGGTGTACTCTGTTTTCATTATATGATCTAACTAATTCAAAAGCATTCGTTCCTTTTGATTTGATTTGATTATCGTTTACTTGCATTTTGATCGTGTTTCGTGGTATTTGTTCGGTTGGAATCAACAATTGCATGTAACACTGCAAAGTTTGATTGATAGTTTTTGCTGTTTTATTTTCTTATTTGTATCAGTATTATCGTTCAATTATGCTTTTAATATTTTGCTTATTTTATTCTCTGGAAATTTGAAGTGATGCGTTCACGTTTAGTTGCTCTGATTTTAATTTCTTCTTCAAACAGTATTTTCACCTCTATCTCAAATTTCCTTGGGGTTCTCGAAGCAATTATTGTATTTTGTTTTTATTTTAAGGTTCAACTAACTAAAAGCATTCCTCGCATTTGATTTGTTATAATATCGTGCTTGCATTTTGATTATGTTTTCTGGTATTTGCTTGGCTGAAATCAGCCATTTTATGATCTGCTTGCAATTTACCTCTGAATCGTTTGCTTCCTTGAATCAATTTCGGTTAATGTGCAACTGATTTTTCTGTTTTGGCTTTTTCGTTCGGATTATCTATTTTCTAATTATGAAAAGGACAAACAAAAAGCGCAAGGCTGATTTGAACTCATCAAAGAAAGAGAAAGCCAGTAAGAAAAATTCTGGAGGTCCAAAGCGTCCAGCCAGTGCATTCTTCGTTTTTATGTGAGAATTGTTTTGAATTCACGTTTTCTCCTCTAATACTATGTGAATTAAGATCAATGTTCTAGTTGTTTAATCTGAATGTTTGAATTTTGTGCTGTGATAGGGAGGATTTCAGGAAAAGTTACAAGGAGAATTTTCCTGATAACAAATCTGTTGCTGCTGTAAGATTCCTATACATGGATTCACATTTCATGATCCTACTTTTAGTGCTACTGAAAGCAAAATTGATTAATTAAAATTCTAATTTAAACATCTTTTGTTTCTAAAATTACTTGAATAGATATTCTCTCGGATTTGTCATTTTTTGTGTAATTTTTTGTAGGTTACCAAAGCTGGTGGTGAGAAATGGAAGTTAATGTCTGATTCTGTAAGATCTTCCAATTTCATTTACGAAACAGTCCCCAAAACTGCATTACTTCTCTGATTATTTTCACACAATTCCCTTTTCCTTATTGATTTATATTAATTTCTTTTGTTGATTTTTAATATTGGTTTATTTATGCTTTGTGGATTAGGAGAAAGCTCCTTATGTGGCAAAGGCTGGGAAAAGAAAAGCAGAATACGATATAGCACTTGCAGCGTTCAACAAAACTCTGGTAATTCCTTTTTATCTACATATATATAGTAAAAGTTGTGAAGTTTGTTTTTCTAAGTTTTCCATTTTAAATTACAATGGCAAGGGGGAAGCAAAAATGCCGGCGGAATCTGAGAAGTCTTCTGGTGAGGTCCATGATAATGCTGAGGACGAAGCTAGCTCTTAGGTGATGTCCCTTTTCATACGGATGTGTGTTATTGTTGAACAATTTCTTTGTGTAACGCAGTCATATTTAGACTCGTATAATTTGACGCTATTCATCGTTTGAGCTAATTGTTATGTGTACTCGTTGTCCTCTCATTGCCTTGGGCTTCTGAATGTGCCCAAAGATAAATTTTCTGTGCATAAGTTTAAATTGCCGTTTAGTGATTAACAACTTGCAATTTAACAGTAGTATCAATCTATTTCGTATTAAGCCTCTATGATCAATTTTTGAAACTCTCTACGAGTGTATTTAAGCATGTTAAACTTGTTCCAACATTGTGTAGTTATTTTATGTTGTGCAATAAAATTGGGATAATAATCAAGTCAGCGACTTGGGGTTTGAGCTGATTTTATGTGTTTTTGGTTGCAGGTGCACGTTTATGGGTTTTGTGAGTTTACTAGTACTGATAAATGGACAGGGAAATATAGGCTTCATTAGTTGTTGAAAGTATATAAATGGGACGATGCTATGAAATCTAGTCGTTTTAGTAGTTGTATCTAATGAAAGATTTCAATAAGAGATTGTACTTAGTTTTGTTTTGTGTTGAAGATTGCAATTACCATCACATATTATGGCAGAATTTGCTTTCCTTTCTTTTTCCTTGCTGTAACGTGATGAAGATTGTAATTACTATCACATATTATATGCCATGCACTGATTAAACCATATTTCACTTCCCTCCTTTTTACCTGTTTAACAGATAAGGCAAACTGGATGAACTCAATTAATAATATTAGAAATAAAGAAAGAAAAAGAAATTTTATCTTTTGCCCTTCTGCTATCTAATTTTATCTAACACTTTTAATTTACTGTGTTCTTACAATATCTTTAACTAGAAAGGAATAGAATAAAAGACTCTCAAATATTGTAAAGTAGCATATTTGCCTAAATTTTTAAGCACCATTTTATTACCTATTTCTTCTAGAAGATGCCTAGCCATGTTCTCAGGGAAGGATTAGAGTTAGCCAATGGATTGCGGATAAGAACAGTCGAGCTCGATGCTTTCTAAGTTGTCAGCCCTTGAGTTTGGTCTTTAGTTTAGCGACAATTTTATGATTGTAGCATTTCTTTGTGAGGTAGGCTACGGATTGAAGTATCAAAATTGATGTCTTTAAACTGATACAGGCTTGTTGCGGGCCTAAATTGGCCCGTCTGAAAATAGGACCTATCTGGCTATCTCTCTTCCAAAATTTCTCATGGATGTAAATGTTCAAAATTGACATAGAATTCAGAAAACAAAAATTTTCCTGGCGATTGGACATGCGTGGAAATGAACCAAAAAACGAAACAAAAAAAAAAGGTAATTACCTCAAATGGAAAAATCCCTAAATTTAAATCTAAAACAAAATTTAAATTTCAAAAAGTTAAAAATGTATCTGATCTAGACTACTATCTCATCAAGCCCCCTAACCTCCAGACCTAACCACACACGAAATTATCTACACTTAGACCTACCAAGTAGCCTAGAGGTTTCAAACCGGGCAGAGCCTTCCGGCATTAAGACGGTTTGTGCCTACTTTTGCCCGCACTAAGCCTGTCATTTAGTACATCCATAGTCATTGTAATTTTCGACCAATTTAACTCGAATTTACTTCCGATGAAATTTCATAACTACAATAGTTTAATATAATTTCAAAATTAACAAATTTATAAAAAAATTCAAAAATCATGTGGTATGTGAATGTAACAGTGTGATATGTGATTGTCACATGTTCTGATAAATTATTGTTTTACGAGTTTTGTAAATTGTGTGATTATGACTTAATGCACGATTTGTTATATGATCATTTTCAATCACACATTTACACAATAAAATATTCTACATATATGTCAAAAAAAATTTCTCCACTTTTTAACCATACATTGTCCTAAAAATCAATATTCAAAATTCTTTTTTTCTACAATAATGGTTGTTAAACAGGCTTTTAGTATGATGTCTGATTTGTGACATAATCTATATGTGACGTGTTAGTTGCATATGTGACTACCTAATTTTTATTTTTTT